AAGAAAGGCCTTGTGGGCTTCGCCGATATTGCCTGACCCTGCTCGCACATCCCAACTGGGAATCTGCACCATTTTGGAGATCCAAACTCGATATGTATCTGGGTCCATTCAAGTGATACTGTGGATGGACCAAATCCTGCACTACTTTGAAGCCATGGGAAACCACATTGTTTGTTGGTATTTACATGGAAGTCATACTTCCAGGGTTTCTTTGGTGCGTTGGATGGATTTCGCCCACAAGCTGAGAGATGCAACCAGTTCAAGGGACCCAGTCTGATCTACCTAGAGGTCGCAAACAATCGGGCACCCATTTGGTAGCTTAAATCAAAGGAGAAAACAAAAAGCAAAAAAAAAAAACAGATCCCTCCACAAAAACAAAAACAGGTCACTCTGGGCCAAGCCCCCCTCCTCGCAAGATGGGATCGCAGAGATGAAGGCTTGGAACTGCTCTTCCTCTTCGTTGCTGAGGTGTTTGGCATAGCCTCAGACGTTTCGGAACTTCAAAGGCAGCCTCGCCGAAGGGATCCGAAGGGTCACACCCAGGGCAGAATGTGGGAAAAAGTAACCACCCCTCTCGGAGAAGGGTTTGTTCCGGGAGCAAGTATCTTAGGCTTCTCCGAGCTCAGGCCGCACAGGTTCCAGAAGTCGTTCATCCCAGGTCAATAAAGCGACCCTGTGCGTTGTCCATAGCCCAAAGGTAAAGAAACTCTGAATTACCCATGCCCGTACAGCGTATAGCAAATTTTAACCCTGGCACACATATAAAGTCAGACACTGGAGTTGTTTCCTTCTATCCTACAACATGCCGATGGAGGGTGCAAGCTGATCCCTCCAACTCATTGAAACGGGGAGATCAAGGCCCTCAATGGAACCAATCACAAACAAGGGCAGCGGTAGAGGGACAAAAAGGGTCTACGCGGTTTTCGAAACAGGAGGCTTGGTACTTAAAATCGAGGTTGCTACAACGAAGGATTCGTTAACATGACATTCTCAAGAAAAACAGCATCCAAAAGGCTTTGCCTAGAACCCCTCAACATGCTTACTTCAAGGGACCCAAACCCAGGGGGGACCACGCCAATCGGGCCACACTGCGACCCAGCGGCGGTTCGTGAGCAGCAGAAACTCTTTCTCTTTCATCCCTTCCAGCTGGAGAAAGTGCAGCAAGCGCTGCTCGAAGATGTTCTGATACCTGAGAGGTTAGAATGCGGGTACCCGTTTTCTGTAGCCCTGGGCGTCCTCGACCATACTTTCATGTGTCTAGGCCATAAACTGCGGAAACCACCTGCTGGTTATGTCCCTCGACCATAAAAAGGAAAGAGGGTCGCAGGCATCATTTGACTGGCCGAGTATGAGTTGCGTTGGATCTGCTTTTTTTGGGATGTGATTGCGCCGTTGTTTTGACTGAATCGCAACGCTCAATACATCGTATTTCAATCGGCGTACATGTCTGATCGTTTGCGCTCGGATTTGACAAACGAAATACTTTGAGCCTTGTAGAGCCATACTAGCTGCATTCGCTTTGGTAAGGCAAAGTAGTTTCAAGCGAAGATCACAGGAATGTTTGAACACCACGCGCCGGGCCCCGGCTATTTTATGCGGATCATTTGGACTTTCTTGGAACCGAATTCTGCAGAACCTGCTGGTGCGTCCAAGCCCCGTTTTGCTGGCTGGATAGTGTGTGCACGTTGTCATTGTGTTATATTGTGTTGCTCGCTTTTCCTTTGCCTTCACTCATCAAGTCACAGGCTGCATGCACCCGGCGCAAGCATTGCGATGAAAACATTGTTTTCTTTGATGAACATGTAGCGTGGACAATCCATGGACAAATCGTGGAACGACCATAAAAAGGCGTGGAACGACCACAAAAAGGCGTGGGACGACCATAAAAAGGTGTGGACAACTCCCTAAAACGGCATGGACACCTCCCTTGTGGACAGGCCCTGGTTGCGGGCAAACAATTCCCAAACAAAACAATTCATCAGATAGTTTGCCTTCGACAAAGCCAAGCGCGGACACCCCCCAACCTCACCCCGTGTTTTGTTCTGTGTTATTTTTCTGAGAAAACAATTGCACCGCATTGGACCTTCAAACTCCGCTGTCTAAAGCTTGTGAGCAAAAAAGACTAAAGCACCCAATTTTCATATGTTCATTGAACATTGGGGGTCCAGCAAATTCGCACGCGTAAGAAAATTGCTGGAACTAGCTGAGGAGTAAGCACGGCCGGTTTGATCAGCTTGCTTGTGATAATGATGGTCTGGCCGACAAAATTTATCGGCAAAGCAGGCACACAATCCTGGCAATCACCGGCACTCAACTGTAGTCTTATGTGATATTCTCAGGCGCTTGGCTGGTTGACTTCTCAACCTGCTTGCCTTACCGATAGGACCAAAAAGGCCAACCTTGTACAATCCCCGTTTATAGCCTCCATTTGTAGGTCTTACCCATTTTATGGCCTCTGCTTCTCGCCCATAATTTTAATGGTCTTTGGAAGCATAGGGGTAGTCTATTTTAGTAGGGGAACACTCCCCCAAAAAAGGAGTAAAAGGGCACTACTGGGGGACCTAGTCACATTTGCATATGAACCCTGGCTTTCCAGTCGGCCGGCACAGATTCGACCACGCCCGGAAAGGCGAAAACGAACTGGCTTGCCGCAAGCCCGGTGCCAAGAGTGGCATGCAGTTTGGCGGCCGACTTTTTCCAAGACTCCAGCTACCCAGTGCCCCTCTCCTACTTTTTAGAACCCCTGTTGAAGCAACCCATGTTTTCTGGGGAAGAGCGGTGCCCCTAACTGGGAAGAAGACAGCCAAAAAAAGGACCTAGTCACCGCTTCTGAATCTCCGTCAGGTTGCTGCTGGTGCAATTCATGCCACCGGTGCTTGAGCCCATGCCCCGCTTCCGCGACGAAGTCCGGTGCATGGGCGCAGCAGAAAGCCTCCAGTTCTTGCTTGAAGCTTGCCTGAGGCTTGGCTCCCAAAACCCCCGGTTTTTGGACGCGGAGAAAAGGGCTTTCCAAGAACACAAGGACACCAAGCGGGGCCTTTGAAGGATGGGCCTTCCAGTTCTTCGCCTTGAAGGCCCGTCTGTCCCCGTTTGAATGTTGATTTGCTACCCTTGGGGCGTGATCCTTCGAGGCTCAGAGCAACCCTGACCATCCCGAGCTCAAAGGGCAGCCAACATGAACCAAAGGAACAAAGGGAAGATGGGGAGGCTGTCCAAACCAACATGTTTGAGTATCAAGTACATCGTGATCTTGTTGACCAAGCTCTGTGAGTGCCAACACACATCGTGGAGGAACATGTTGCAGGCTGACAGTTGATACGGGCCTCCTGTCTTGGCTGCGCGAGTTGGCAATGTTGGCTGTTGCAAGAGTGGCCCGCCCTGGGCCACCGAATGCAAAGGCGTCAAACTAAGGACCTCAGAGTGGCAACATGGCGTATCCTGTGAACATGGGCCAACAAATGGGAAGCGATCCCAGGAAGCTGTTACAAATCTTCAAATACATGGAAGGGAAGGGTAGGGAATACCAACACTCTTGCCCCTGGCGCCAAGCATAACAGAGAATAAGAAACCCATTCCAAACAGCATAAGGTCAGCGCAAAGCAGCACTAACCACTATGAACTCAGTAGAGGTTCCAAAACACACGTGCTAAAGTTGTGCTGCACTTGGAAATGAGGCTCGGGCCGGGAAAGCCTATGTAGGCGAGGAAAGGGGCTTCCAGGTGCCTTTGCAGTGATTACTACCCCACATTCAACTACCAGCAACTCTGCATCACAGGTGCGTCCTCGAACCAGCGGAGCAGCTTCTCCCCTCAGCTTCTGCAGAAGAACGCGCACACGAAAGCAAGAGCTGGTTATCTTAGCTGCCCACTGGCGAAAGCAGGAGGAACAAGCGCCGCCGTTGCTTTGCCACTTGATCAGCAAGCTGTTCAACAGGCAGTCTTGAACTATTGACGAACTGTCCATCCCCATTTTGGTTTCCCCTAGGGGCAGTCAACAGAAATATAGGCCATGTAGCACACTGCAAAAAACCAGCCGAAAAGCAAGTAACTGGTACCAGCAGTGCGCACGGCAGGGCAGCAGCAGCACCCGGAAAAATGCATCACATCTGAAGATGAAACCACCACGAGAACCAGTCTCGCAACCATCGCACACGCCGCAAGCAGCGACCAAACGCACCAGCCCCATAACTGGCGTTCTGAGCCCAAGCAGCGGTTCTGCAGCGACTGCAGGAAAGACATGGCATTCCCAGGGCCCTGCTGGAGGGACCGGCAACGGCCGGCAACCCAAAAGAACAGCTAGGAGCCCGTGGTTTCTATAGTTTACTTGTCCAGTTGATTCAGTGTGATTAAGTGATTAACTGGAGGTGTACCTGTGGTTCTCTGCTTCTTTGGATTTGTTGTCTTTGCAGTGTGTCCCATCCTTCGTTCTGCGAATGCCAATTTGAGACTTGCGATCAAGAGATCTGGATCGGCTTTGGATCTGTGCATCCCGCCTTGAAGCCGCAAAACATGCACATGTTTCCGTGCCGACCAGTCCATGACCTCACCCTCTCCACACCAAAAGAACTCGATGTCCAAACCCCAATCCTCTATGCACAAGCGGGCCCAGGTAGAAGAGCAAAGAGACCCTCTGTATCCACACTTGTTGCCCTGGTCTCCTCTCGCTTGTCCTTCTTGTCCCTTTTACCAATCAAGCCAAAAATGGGGACACGGGTTTCTCCAAATCACGGCTTTCACAAACTCCAGGTTCGTCTGCTTTGCCCAACCCTGTCGGAAAGGACGCTTGGTCCGCCCTCAGCTATCGCTGTCGCCACTCCAAAGAATCCGATGAAGCGCTTGCCCAACCTTGCCCTTGTTTGTTGAAGGGGGTCAATTGGACTCACCTTAGTTGCTTTTGCAGTCACAAGTCGAGACGCTTTGGCATATTACCGCTTCAACGTGCACGAGACGCGGGAAGTGATTAGACCAACACATGGAGAACCCGGTCGCTTGGCACCCGGCCCGATCCTTGGCAGCCCTTATGTCTGGCCGGCCCTGCGTCATGAGGTCCCGCGCCTGCTCATGTATTTTTTGAACCGAGCAAAAGGGGTCTCCCAAATGTTGCTTTCCGTGTGCTGGTTAGACCCCCTGGCTGTCTCCTAAAAGGCCTTTACACTGGAAAGAACAAAACACACGTTGCTTGGGGTTTCATGTCAGTTTTAGGCAAGCGACTTTATGTTGCCATCGAGTTGCCATGACCACGCTTTTAAAGCACTCATGGCAGACAAGGGAATCATGTCGGCTCAGGACAATTGGTCGCCCCGATTCTTGGAGACTTGCTTTTTGTAGGTTTGTCTTTCCACCTTGGCAAGTGAGGCACGAACATCTAGAGGCCAAAAACAAAAACTAACAGAACACAACCACTGCATCCTCACTCAGGAAAAGTGCCACTCCCTGTTAGAAAGCAAGTGCCTGGTAGCAGAGAAAGAACATCCATGGGCAAATTGGCAGCATTCACACCGACATAATTAATTGAGCAATGTCCTCATGGATGAGGTAGAGGTCACTACAATTTGCTCAAAGCGGGTGACTTGCACAACTCGTCCTCGCGATTTCCCACCCCCCGGCCGCACTTTTCAGGAAGCGCTCTGATGGCATTGCGGCACAGGTTGGCTTGAATCCAAACCTGCACAGTATCTGTGTGCTGGGTGCATACCACCCTGCCCTTGGGGCAATCACCTGCCTTCCACCATTTTTTGTTGGAGAATGGCAATTGAATGCGCATCTTCATTCCGTGGTGATGTTCCAAGTCGAGTGAAGGCCCTGCCGCGTCTGATTGTACCGCGCGAAGGTCGCCACGACCGAGCGCATGAATCTCAGCTCCGGGTCTTCGGCCACGGCCAGGCTCAACGCCATATCCTAGCATGGGCCGACAGCCTTCAATTCAAGGCATCAAGCAGATTACACGGGGCAGGTACTCCCGGTGCGCACCACACAAAATCAATGCCTTAAAGTAGGAGCTGCCTTTTTGAGAAAGAAATGGTGCATGAAGGGCAAACACCCTCGAGGACGGAAGGTTGTTGGACCCTTCTCCGCCCTCTTGTCGCCCGCCCAGAATTCCCGAACAGGGGAATTTGACTTCACGTGTCATGGAATCTTCGGGGGGGCTGTGGAGGGGGGGGGGCTATCCCTGGATAAGCCCAGGAGAACCCACGGATAAGCCCTTAATAAGGCCTTATTAAGGTCTTAATAAGGGATAAGGGATAGCCCCCCCTCCCCATAGTTTTTTTTTGGGGGTCCAACCTGGGCCTTGCCAGGTCCCTTGTAAAGGACGACAGAAGCAGCCCCACGATACCAAAAAAATGTGGGAGTCATGAAGCGAATGCGCACACACACACACACAAATCATCCATATGCCTCTCTTCGACCCGCTGGCAGGTCATGTTCCTTTCAATGCGGGCTGCAACCTATCAATCTATTACGCTGGGTGGGCGGCAGATTTGTTTACCAAGCCCTTCCTGTGTTCACATGAAACATGTATTGCTGCAACACATCTCATGAATCTTAAGCCCTTTCGGGGAAAAAAAGAGAACGTCCTTTCGCCAAAAACAAAACGAAAAGAACAAACCCTTTCGCAAAAACAAAAACATCATTTTGGCAAAGAAGAAGAAAAACAACAGCACCTGGGATGACGACTTCCACAACAGACACGTCCTGCAGGTAGTCCTTCTGGCTGGGGATCATCCCCTGGTCGATGGGCGGGCAGCGGCTTTGGTCCCTGGTCCGGATCCAGCAGCTGAGCCCTTCCGAAGGCCGGACACCCCAGAGGTGCACAATGGCCACATGGTCCCGCCCATCCCAAAACATCTTGTAGTTCCACCTGTGAGCCAAAACTGTGTGGGGTTTTGGGGGGGTGGTTTGTTTCGATGGTACCTTGGTGGTTGCTTAAAAGGGAAAGCCGAAGCACGACAACCAGAAGGAGACAAAGCCATGGTGCACTTGCAAATCTCTCTGAAAAAGGAAAACGCGACGCCACTGAATAACTGAAACTGGGCCACTTGTCTGCCAGAAACCTGCGGCCCGTGTTGCCCTCAGTGTCGTAGAAATGGTTCCTGGCACCGTAGCGAGTCTTACAAAACAAAGTGAGAACCACCTGACCTGATGCGAAACCTTGTCACATGTCGGGCAAGCTGGCCCAAAGGTTGATTGGCCGAATTGAAAGGGGATCCTGCCCACCGTCGCCCCTGTGGAAAACACAATTTTCCGCCCCCCCCCCCCCAAACAAAAACAACAAACAAAACAAAAACACACACCAAAAAAAACAACAACAACATGTTTTCAGCATTTTGTTCTAATACATTGATGCATCTACTAATTTTGCTTGAGTCGAGATTCAAAGGAATTGGGATCGCTGATTTCGGGTTTTGGTTCCCATCTGCTTCTCCCTTTCAAACCATCTTTTTCGCCAGCTGTCTTACTCCGCTAGCGAGGCGCAGGGTGCCCTGGTCCAGGCTGGTGCTCAGGTACGCGCTGAGCAAGGGATTCAGGTCGGGGCTCTGTTGGTTCACCACCATGGCCGCGGCCAGCATGTGGGGCCTGAAGCTTTGCATCCGAGCCCTGCGTCCCCACAGGCAACATGCGTCGGTTGCAACCCGCTCACGAGGGAACGCTCGCTTGCCACACGAGCAGCCGATGTTTCGGCTGCCAAAAACAACCACTTGCGGAGTAACAAGACGCTTTTGAAACGTTTGCCGGGCCGCATGTCGCGGCGGTAGTTGGGCACATTGAACAGCACCACGCCCGCGTTGCGCGGCCCCTCCTGCGGAACGCTGTGCGAGCAGCTTGTCTCGCTGAACCCTGGTGCTTGTGTGATTTCTAATTGACAAAGCCTGCCAAATCTGAATCTAACATCCAGAAACCAGAACAAGCATGAATGCGTTGCATGGCCGGGGATGTGTTTACGCTGCACTTGTGTGCACAAACAAGCGTCGCTCAAAGGCTGTTGAGTTGACTATCTTCGGCCCCATGGAATGCTGCCAAGTTGAGGCATACACTGTTTCGCAGCATGTCACAGCGTCTTGCGATGCAAGACCATCGAACACACACTAGCTAGCGGAACACGGCTCGCCGAGTTCCCACATTCGATTCAGAGTCTCGATCTTCGGAAGCCCTTAGCTCCACCCCAGCTTGTTCCAACAATCATTGGAGTGGACAATGTTCGGTTTTGGAAGATTGCCATCCTCTAGACAAGGCTCCATGCCAACTTCCGTGTTTAATTATCCTCCCTCTGGCAGCTCACAGGAGGGTTGTGGAAAACAACTTTCCTTCCTCCCTCCAATGGCACAGGAGGCTTGTGGACGACTTTCCTTTTTGGGCGAGTCTCCAAGCCCGGCTTTGAGGGAGGCCAAAAAACCCGCTGCCACTCTTGTTGGAACAAGGGGATTTGGAAAATGTGCGCTGCCCCCGGCTCCCACGGGGCTCCCAAAACGAGCCGGGAGGTCAACCTGCCTGCCCTGTCCGACGTTGGAACAATCGATGGAACTGAGCGAATTGAACCAGCGGAATCCATCTGTGCTCAACTGGTGACCTGCAAAAGACACCTCTGCAAAATATGGCAGCTAGGCAATTGCAAACATGGTCCGCCTGCGATCATGACATGAGTTCGCTTTATGTTCCCGCCTGATTTTGTTGATTGCTGCCAGCCCGGCTCCTTTTGTCTCATCTGCGAAGAGAAGGCCAAGGAAAACGAGGTCGATGGGGCAGAGGCCAGAAACTCCTCGCGTTCCACCTTCCTCCACCAAATGATGTCCAGGTCCGTGAACAGGGCGTAGTTTTTGAGATGCCTGCGCTGTACCAATGTACAGTAGCGGAACTAAACCGGGTTTGCACCGCAATGCACCAAGGCTGTTGTGATTGGATGTGAGTCGTTCAGATGCAATTTTCGAGTAATGCTAGGCGATGTCTGGATTTAACGTCGTGGCAAAGCGGGCGATCCCTTGCTCGCCTTGAAGAGCTCAAGTCACATGAATGCGCCGGGGGCCAACGGCTTGCCTAAAAGGTTTGTTGAATGGTCAGCGGATGTTTCTGTTTGGTTTTCCTAGGACTATATGTCTTGCCGACTTGTGAGCCTTTCATGTTCCTTCAATGAACACCTCCAATTGTGCTTGAGAAACATCAGCTAGCCAGCTGACTGCTAATGAGAGACCTGGAGTTATGAACAGGCCCTGTCAATTGCAGAGCGCGGTCGCGAGGAAAGTGACAAATCAACCGCTGTCTGTTGCCCTTGGGTTGCGCCATTCTCTTTGAGGAGTGATGTTTTGCTGCAGTAGACTGGTCATGCTTCTTCTTCTCCTTCTCTGATTCTTGCGGTGACCCCAAGCGATCGTTTGACCGATGGGCAGAAGACCACTGCTCAGCATGGGAAGTCGGACGAAGTCAAACAACTTGGTCATCGTTCAATCCCAGAACCTGGGAATCAAGTTCAGTGACACTACTTTTTGCTTGATTCCCAGGTCCAGGATTGAACAATGACGACCGCTATTTGCGTGTGCACCACGGTCTCAACCAGGAGCACCCTCAGACATAGTTGGATGTAAAACTCCCATGCAACAAATGAGGAGCAGTAATGTGCGTGTAAAACAAATTCAGTCACCTCCCAGCGCCATGGTTGATGTTTTCAAGGACACCTAGATCCATTTGCTCAACTCCCCTGGAATAAATACAAACCTGTCCATTAGTCCCAGATTCCCCTAAAACATCAACCAGGGGGAAATCAACCAATTATTCTCCAGCCAACGGAAGTTGGCTCATCTCACTCCTTGCTTTGCGGGGCATTTTTCCCGGGCGCCGACTTTTCCCACGTAAAGCGGCCCGAGCCGCTGGTCTTTCTGCACGTCGTTCCGGTCCAGGATCTCCGGCACGTCGAGGCGCAGGAAGGTGCCGGCGAGGCATTCCACGTCTGAGACCTGAGGCTCCGATGGGATTTTTTGACTCCAGTCACATGGCAGTGGCTCAAAATTAAAGAGCTAGGGTTACGCAGGTTTTGGTCCATGTTTCCACCCACCAGGGTTCCATTTTGGTACCGTTTTTTTTTGAGCCATACCCACATGCAGAAAGCATAGCCTCTACATTATTTCAAGGGAAGCCACCACCAAGGTAAATTCTGAGCTGTTGAATAAAAGCAAACCGAGAGGCTCGGCTTCCATGTGCTCAATAAGCCTGGAAGAGAAGAAGTGGAATCCACCCTTCAAGCCGACACAACTGTAGAGGATGCCCCTCTGCACTGGGCAAAGTTTGGCGAACATCCAGGCCAAAATTGCCAAACCCTTGGGAGCCCACACCGCGAAGCAGCAAGATATTCGTGCAGCTTTTTTTGTTGAAGCAGCTCCGCTCTTCAACGAGCCCAAGCACCTGAATAAGCATCTTACTGCCCAGCTCGGAGCCTGAAAGAAGCATGCTTTTCAAGGATTTCGGTCTTCTCAGCTGCCTTCAACGGAGTGCAAAAGCAAAACTCAGCTGATCTCTCCTCCCAGAACGACTCGTGATGTAATTCATTGCATGCGTTGCAGAAGTTACAGGCGTGAGAAAACATGAGGACACAAATGCCTGGATCAGCTATACAGACTTTTCAGGGTGCAACCAAACTCGTTAGAAGAAAAGCAGCTCCCGGAGAAAAAAAAAACAAAGCAAAAACAGAAAAAGAAAAACAACTGGGTGTAGTGCCGGCCAAGAGGCGTTCTCCTCTTTTGGAACCCCGTGCAAGCCTCTGCTTCGCCAAAGCCCGGATCGGTGGTCAAAAAAGCCAGGTGGAAGTGGCGTGACTGCAACTTCAGTGTGGGATTCCGCACCATCTTACCACTTAAAGGGCCAATATGTTCTATGTGGCCGTCTTACATCATGGTCTTCAAGTGAAGTCATGCCTGGGAGCCACCGAACTGTTTGGGCACATGAGATGAGGGTTCTACGTGTTGTTTCTAATGCGCTCTTCACCCCTCAGAAGCTCAAGCTACCCATGCAAACCAGTGTCGAAATTTGCTAGGTGAACCTCCATGCTGGTCAGATGCAAACTGGGATCGCGGGGCAGAAAAAATGATATAGGCGTGTCTCAGAAGCGGAGCTGTTTTTCGGATAGCTTCGGGAAAGCAAAAGGAAACCAACTGCCTCGAGGGAACCCAAAGTGTGAGAAACACCTGTATAAAACTCGGAGATATAACCATAAATTGTCCAAAGCACCATTCAATGGGCCTGTGAACAAAGGAACTCTCATTGCAAAGCCTGACAAAAAAGCAAGTTCAAAGCCTGAAGCATGGTTACGGAATTTGTCGGGTTCCTTCTTGTTTCTCGTTGTCTTCTGGATTGGACATGTGCAAAGCATCTTCCTTTTCCCTCTCCCGCTCTTCTTGTCTCGAGTGGCCAACCCACATGGGACTGCAAACGCTTCCAAGGAGTTGCTTGCGCCCAACGTATGGTATGTGCAAACAGCGCTAGCGTCTTAAGCAATGCTTACAACAACATCTGATGCAACAACTGGGAAATGGAACCTCAAACAAAACAGCTTACTAGTGGAGGACATGCCTTGTCACGGTTTGAATGGCCTAACTAACGTTTTCTAGTCCATCCGCCGCAACACCCGCTCACAAGAAGACAATGCCCATGACCGTTACTGACCCCAACTGCGGAGGGGCACCTTGCGACTGACATATCGCCACTTGGCAAAGGCCCGCTATTGAAAGATGGGCTGCGTGGGCCTTTGTCAAAGTCCAAGGTGGGGCGTGGGGCTTCAATTTGCACCGGACCCCTTGGACCTACCAAACGACCCTGAAATTCACATGACCCTATCTCCGGCCGACCGCAAACAACATGTGGCCAGAATATACAATGTCTTGCAATTCGCACAGAGCAAACAGGACAGTTCATTGTCTTTAGAGGCTTTCAGCAAAACCAAGGCATCTAGACAACCGGAAGAACCACCCCCGTATGCAAAGAATAGCTGAATGGCAACTGTGCTGAAAGCATTACCACCAGCTGTGTAGTTTCGCATTTTGATGCTGACTTGCGCACAATGCATGCTATGCAAAGCTCAAAATCCGGGAAACACGACTTGGGTGACAATTCACCTTGCGGATTCGGGGAGCTTCCCGCCACAAGTCAAGGCTTCCCTGCAACATGGGATGCCCTGATTGAAGTCAATGAGTCTATCACTCCTGGGTTCCCATCGGTGATTGTTCTCGTTCTCCAAGTGTACATATCAGCCACTTAGTCACTCCCTATTCATCAAGGGTTCATTGATCAACTGGATCCCCATTCGACAGTCGGCGCGGATCCGAATGTGTGTTTGAAAGGACACAGCAAAGAAACCCACCATCTTGCGGGGGTCCCCCGAGATGACACAAGGGTTTATTGACTTTCATAAGACAGTCTAAGACACTGGAAGGCCCTCACTTTCTTCCACCTTGGACCAAGGGCATATTGATAACATGTGTTGTCCATGAGGCAACTTCACCAAAGCCAATTGCCAAGATGCTGGAGATGAAGGAAAGGCTGTGGATCACCGTTTTGGCGCCCAGCTCCCGGATGTGTTGCAGCCGTTGTTGGAGGTGGCTGCTCAAAGATGCCTCTCACCAAAAAAGCGAAGGGGTTTGAAGGTAATTATGCTGACGTTCATCTGGTTTCTGGGGGGCAATTGATTTGTAAAGCTTCTCCTTGCTTCCTTGCTTCCTTGCTTCCTTGCTTCCTTGCTTCCTTGGTTCCTTCCTTCCTTCCTTCCTCAGCTTCCTCAGCTTCCCAGAGCTAGCCGCTTCCCTGGAGTCCCCATTGCCCCTTACAAATGGGGTCATTCCCCGAAATGGGGTCATGGCCCCATTTCTCAGGGGTCACGGGGACCCCAAGCCCCAGGTAGCGGTTCCAGTTTCGCGGCCTCGGCGGTACCCTCCGGCACGTGAACCACCAAGTGGGGGTCGAAGAAGGTGTTCTTGGTCGCCTGCCAGGAGAGAAGCCTCGGCTCATCGGCCCGGGGCCCGGGCGCATTTCTGGGGCTTGAGCCCTTTTCCATTTGCGAGTACGCCCCCTGGAAAAAATAAACAGATATATGTTCAGTAGTGATAGATTCCAAATAAAACCAACAAGGGAAAACAAAAACAAAAACATATTCTTAAGCAAATCCAAGTCTGGGGGTTGATTCCTTGTCCATTCTTTTTAGCCGTCATTCTTTTCCAAAACCGGATCCCTGGGTTCAGAATGGGGGAAGTTACCCCTAGAACAGTGGCTGTGGCTTGAGCCATTGGAACCAACACATCGCCCACACGCAAACCAGGCGTTTGCGCCAGCACCTGCTGTATCATATTCCTCTCGTGTTGTGTTTGGCCCAGGCACGGACGAAGCAAGAAAGACAAGGACGGCAAGAAACAAATACGCTGATTGCCGGTTTCCAGCCAGCAGCAGCTGGGATGAACCAGCCTCCAAAGGCACCCTACACAATGTAGGTGTGGAAGGGCAAATGCGACAAACCCGTGCCGCACCCTTTGGACACATGTGCCCTTGAGCTTTCCAGATTGTTTTGCAAGTTTAGGCAAACTCTGATTAAACCAGTCAGACTTGGTGCTTTTGAAGCTTGGCAATAAGCTCTGGCCAGTTTTTGGCATAGTTCCAAACCTTTGCTGGCGAACTTTGCACTGTGCCAGAAGCCTTTCGGGAAAATGCCTTGAGAAGAACTCAAGGCAAAGTGTGCCACAAAAAGCGCCAGAAACGCCCCGGCCAAGGCCCGAGGCCCAGAGGCCCGAGGCGCGCGATCTCATACTGGCTCAAGTAGTGGTCTGACTCGGTGCAGTTCGGCGCTAAGGAGATGGGACTGAACCATAGCACTTGCTGATCTTGCGTGCCATACGTCCTGCGCAGTCTCTGGGTGAATTCTAGTATTTCACCAACCTGAAATAAGGCGGTCGGGCGGCTATTCCCCACATAAACCAATATTTGGGGTGAGGTCGTGTGAGGTCGTTGTAATTCACCCAGTCTCATTGAGGTTCTCCCGAAATGGCGGGTTCGCCATCCCCCCCCCACCCAAATGCGCGGTTTGTGGCTTGGCTTTGTTTCTCCTTTGACAGGGGTCACTGGTTTTCCCGTTCAAAAGCTGCAATTTTCTGGTCGCTTCCATTGAAACCGTCTTTTTGGAGGTGCGAAAAAGGGAAGTTGAGGGGCGCCTGTTCAACGCAACCCAAAAAGGCTTGATCAAACTACCCCACGTCGAGTTCATGAACTGAATCTTGGGGTTTCTTGGGACAGGCCGATGTGATAGGTCGAGGCAATCCCCCTCACAGCCCGGCCTGGCCGTAGCTGGAAAAAAGAAGGCGAGCAGGAAGATCGCGCGAAGCATGGCTCGCCGCTCGTAACGGTAGGTAACGGCTAAAGTTGGAGCCTGCCGGCTGCTGGAACGCATTGGGAGTTTCCCAAGCGGGCCCGGCTTTGGTTGGTAAAAAGAAAAAGGTAGCCAACAGTTTTAAGGCACCAACCTCGTCCAATGTCTGCTTCAGAAAACGTACAATGCAAGAGGCCAGTAATCGTGGCTCAAGAAAGCGGACGCTTTCAAGATATTCTGCGCCAACGACAACTCTGGTACCAATCTCTGAGTCGCATTTCTTCACGCATGTTCAATCAAAATGCAAAAGGGTTAAGGATTGATGTACAACCTCGATCAGCATGAGTCATTTAGCAAGTGAGAACTTGAAAATAAGGGGGCACACAACATAATTTGCGATCACACAAATGGGACAGAAAAGTCCAAACCTCATGATTGGACACGTGCGCTATAGCATACAGGCATACACGTGCAAAAGTGTACACAGCAGCAAATAAAGACACATACTTAAATACACAGATCTAGTTCATGTAAACCAAAAATAAACTGCTCATGTGGGACGGACGCATCCAACTGAGCGCACTGGCCCCGAGCCGCTCCGCCTCTGCCTGCATCAGCTTGAAGGATTCCGCTCGATCTTTCAGCGCCTGCACCGGAGTCAACAGCGGCCCCCCCTCCATGCACTACTGTGGGTGGACGAAATCCTGCACCACTTTGAATCCATGGGAAATGGGAAACCATAGTTTGTTGGTATTTACAGGGAAATCATACTTCCAGGGCTTCTTAGGTGGTGCAGGAGTTCGTTCATCCACAGTATGCCCCTTTATAGGCACAACGTTTGCAGTCTCACTCCCCCCCCCCCCGAATACATTGCACGCAAAGGGGGTGGGGGGAGCAGTGACAACTGCGTCCCGTCCTTAAGATCCCCTTGGGCTCACACCAGCCTCGCTTGGCACAGGTCAGTGGCCCATAGCCTCTAGTGACGTGACATGGCCATGGGTCAGAATTCCGTACCCCCAGTGAACATCCCAATCCAACCACTAAAATAGGTTCTAAAATGGGCGGTGCACCGGGACCCCCAAAATGGGATCCCAAATCGGTTTTGACAACCACAGCCACATCAACTCAGACCGAAAAAGGACGGAAAACGGGGGGCTAGCGTGCTAGCGACCCGCAGAATCCCACCCTTGGCGCCGGAGCCGCGAGAAAACCAATTCGGCACTCTGCTCCCGCCTGACCCAGGGACAGCTCAGGCAGGAAGGAGAACCTGACATGTCTGGAACACAAAAAAAGGAATCCATGAAGGGCCGCAAGTGGTGAAGGCCGTCTTAGATCCTATCCTTGAGCAATGACATCCTCTCTCTCTCTCTCTCTCTCTCCAGCATCCTCGAGCTATGACATTGCGCGAGATAATTAATTTGTCCTCCGGCATTCAGGGGCCCAAGAACCGAAGACAAAACATCCTGGGCCCTCAGCTAAAAGGACGCGCAACAGCGTAAGCGGCCAGCAGGCAGAACAAGAAAGGCAAAGGACCCAGGATGTGCGGCTGTGACTGTTCATCCCCAATCTGGGACCATGGTACCCATTGCTTGTGTGACTTTCTTGGCCCTGTAAGACTACATGACATGACTTGGGTGGTCCCTCTGATCCACAACCACACATGGTTGGGCTGTGGTTCCACCGAGAAACAGCTCCAAGTTAAAAGGAATGGAGTGCGCAAAAATACGGGTCTTCCTCTCTCCTTTGGAGTTTGCTAACCAAGGCCGCTTCTGTTCTTTGCCCGGAATGTAGCATACTCATCATACTCACAACGCATCTTGGAGTTGTTTACTGGGTCCTGTTGGGCTGTCACACTTCTGATTCGACTCCTTGGTCACGAAATACCAAGCGGTAAGTCAGCCGCCAGCCACTCACTGGGGCGAAAAATGTGGCTCCAACCGGTGTGTCAACCACTCACTGTACTGTATAGTTACCCTGGAATCCACTTTGATGGATTCACATTTGGGTTATACTTTAGCTTGCTAACGCGCATTCCCATGCACATCTCCCTTGTCGGTCAGGCAAGGTTTGACCCCTGCTCCCGGTCGAGAGCCTCTGCGTTTCGCTGGGCGTGGACGTTGCATCTGCCTGGGGACGGTGAGGCTGGTAGCATGCTTGACTCTATCCCAGTTGCCCAGTGACTCTGGTGGGAACAGACTTCAAACATGTTTGGGGCTGACCAGTTGACCTTTTTTAGTGGGGAACCCCCACAAACAGAAAGGGAACACAAAAACTGGGCTGCGGGTGGTAGGGGGCAAAGTAAGCAACGGAAACCTCCCGCGTGCGAATTGATCCATGCTCTTGGCATGGAAAAGAATGGCTGCTAAGGAAAGCAACTCAGCTGCACATGCCGATCACGCAAGGCCATGGAAGCACGAGCCCGTAGAGCGTGCCAGGCATGTAAACAAGCCTGACGCGAATGATCAGAAGGCCAACTGAAGAAAATAGCTGTAGAATGAGCACTGTGGCGTCCTGACCTGCTCAAACCTACTGGGAAACCAGGACTTCCTTTATACTCCACTTTCACGCTCAAACCTGATCTATCCTAAGACGCGTCCAGTCAACATGCAGTGTCCCTGTCCCTTGACCCCAGTGCGGAAGACACAGGAAGGCACCTGGTCCGCCATATGTTTCAGCCAAGGGGCATAGGCTCCCATGCAGTCCATGCTTCTGATGCTTCCCTCTGCGCGACGAGCTGGGTGTTGAATAGCTCGGGACACCCAAAAACAAGGTGCATCCCCTTGTGGTTCCTTCCATCTGTGTGGGAATGAACTAAGTGCCCAGAGAACAAAACATGATTCAAGCAAAACGCCCCAGGAGCACACGCCCCAAGGCCCACTTCTGACGCGACTGAAATCCCCTTTCCGCCTTGGGCGCCTCCGGCTCCGGCGAGCCCTGGGACGGGGAAACGTGATGGGCCACGCTCCCGGAGCCACTGAAATGGAATCCAACTGGCCAAAATAAAATGGCAGTGGCTCAAACAAACGGTACCAAAATGGAACCTGGTAAGTGGAAACATGGACCAAAACCTGCGTAACCCCTCCTGTTGATTTTTGAGCCACACCCAAATAAACCTCCAAAAGGATTGTTGGATGGTCAGTGGTAGAAAAGTAAACTAGACGCGTTGCTTGCTTGTCAGTGGCAATGCACACACACGTTCTCCCGAAGTATGTGTAGTTAGGTTCAACCAAAGAACAGCCAAGCTCGAACATGGCCAATCTCTCATACATACTACGGCTCAACCGGACAGCTTAGATGAGGCTGGCATGATTTCAGTGCAGCCATACAGCACGAGAAAACAAAGGCGTGTACTACGTTTGATGCTGCTTGGTCTGCATCTCTGACTTCTTCCTGACCTGTCATTTGAGGCACCGTGGTGGCACAGGCACTAGTTCCCACCACCAGTTGCAGCTTAACCTTGTATAATATCGGCCTTAAATGGATTCGATGTGATTGCATTAGCCAGAATGTAGCATGGAAAGGCTATCCGGCTAGCTGCGTGGAAGCCTTTCCTGCTAGGCGGGGGGGGGGGCTGCCATTTGACACCTGTCCAAAATCGCAACGCTTCTCTGGCTGCTTGGATCATGAGAAACTAGAACAGAGCCAAGACTCGCAAGAATAGCGGTTGAATCCCTACTGCCATGATTCAAACAGGAAACCCTCCCGCCAAGCGATTCAAAGTCAATTGGGTATGGGCATGGGTCAAAAAATGAAACCACCCTAGAAGACTGCAGGTTCTAGTCCATGTTTCCATTTTCTAGGGTTCGATTTTGGGTTTCCGATTTTTGACCCACAGCCCATTTTCCCTTTTGTGGGGACCTGTCAGCGTCCACGAGAAGGAGGCCCTGGGAGCGCTGCGCGCTCCGGCTCTTTGCCTGCCACGAATTGATCTGGGGCACCTAAACGCCCCATCCATTTCTCAGATGCCCAGTGGATTTCCATGAAAAGGGCACTTTTTGGTTGGTTGAGTTTAAAGGGGAACCCTTACCCCAAAAAAGGAAAAAACAAAAGGCACCACTGGGCAACAAAGATTTGTAGCCGGATTTGCGTTGGGAGCCCTGTTCTGGGTTCATGCAGGCGGTGTTCCCCACCAGTGTCTCCATCCGCTGGATCAATCAACCGGCGGATGAATAAGGGAAGGTGCTCCCCGAAAGCGAATAATCCCATTAAATGGTTCAGCAACCGAACAAGGGAACACGTGATTCGCACAAACGTCTCGGCCGGAAGGCATCTTTTGTGAGTCTTCAACTGAAGCTTACAATGTTTTTGGGTATCCGTGTTCACTCTCGAGGACGAACTCAATCACCAGCCTTCTGATTGCAAGTGCGGATGGCACCTAAACACCTAAAACTAAACTTTGCTCGCTCGTCTGGGGTCCAGGAGCAGCATACACATGCACAGGAGCTTTACACTTGCAGGGCTGGAAAACTTTATGCGCTTCGCGGACTGGGTATCCTCTTCAATTCGGTCAAGGGCAACAACATGCGGTTGCATATCGAGTCAGTCATCAGTACGGGGGTTCGTGGTTGGCTTGCATCCTGGGGGTAACTAAGCGATTGGCTTGCCATCGCAACAATCGTACCAACGCTGCAGATTTGGGCACTAGGACACATCCATCAGAGAGACCATGCAAAGTTGCCAGCCAAGCGACTGTGAAGCTCGACGATTGTGTGGCCCCGATCCCCGATGATACTGTAGATGTTCTCCTAGTGCTGTACTTGTGAAATGCGTATGATTGTATATCATTTCATTACAACAAAATATGTTGACAACAACATGAACAAACAACAAGCAAATACGTAGCCTTCATATACCCCTCTTGTGAGAGCGTCCCCGGTTTCACAACTGCTACAGAAGGGCTTGCCACTAAGTACTAGGCAACCGCAAAAGCGCTCACGCAGCAATGCAACCATTCTGCTCAGCAATCTCTTTAAACACTAGCCAGCACATCTAGAAAGATAATGTTGACCCCATATCAATAAACCTAAGTTGGTTACTATGGGGGTGTTCCTGTCCAAAAGTGCTAGTTCCGCACGAAAACCTGGGAGAAGCACCCCATATTAATAAACAGGGGTTGGTTAATATGGGGTGAACATTAAGGAGCTCGCTGAAAAGTGTGTTGCCTGTTCGGTCTGGAGGTCGCGCGGTTCCAGATCGTCGGAGGCTACAACCAAGAGAGCACCCTTCGCTGCAGCCTGGGCTGCCCAAGTCTTCGAAGGAAAGGAAGACCTTGGAGATTTGCAGCGACCGCATGGCAGACCCAGTCTCCAAGAGAGCTCGCTGCCAGGGTCGGATGGCAATTCCTTCTCCCAGCAATCTAATCTGGTCCATTCTCATTCCGAAGGGCAAACATCCTGCCCTTCAAAACATGGAACCCACAAAAAGAGAGATTCGAATCTCCAAAAAGACCATGGCGTTTGCCGGAAATTTCCCAATTTGGAACCATCCAAACTGCCATGGTTTGCCGGAAAGTTCCCTTTGGCTTGCCATCCAAACTGCGGTTCCCCCATGGCTCGGACGGCGCCCTTTGGGGCGCCCGGGACCCGGGACGTTTCCTTCGCTCAGCGTGGCGCCGGGGACGCGGAGCCGCCGGGCAATGGCGCGTCCCAGCCTGAATTCAGGCTTGGGCCCCGATTCGAATCAGACGAAACGGCGGGAAGGGAAATGTTTCATTTTGGTCTGCTATAGGGAAAAAATGACAAAATGAGAATGAGAAAGGACAAAAATGACAAAAATGTTGCTACAGACTATCCTAGAAATTCCAAGTACCTGCTAGGGAGGTACTGAACGAGCCCTTTTTACCCCCAAAAGCCATTGTCAGGAGGTACTTGGACCCTCTGGGTATTGCAAACAATTGACAACATGAGAAGGGAAAAAAGACTCAATCACAGGGAAATGTCTACTATAGGACTCTGTGATTGAGACACTTGCATTTGCTTGCGCTGTTGATTTAAGAAATCCTAGAATATTGTGGTGTTCGACTCTCCCACTGCGCCCCGAAACACAGGGAACATGCCGTTGTCCGGCCACTCAAGCCAAATCAGCTCCAACCAAAAAACATGCACTTGTGCGTGTGTGTGAGAGTGTGTGTGTGTGTGTGCGGGTGGCGACACTCCAACTGCAGGTTGATTCTCAACAAAAGGAGGCCACTCCACGCGGTTTCATTCGACCTGTGCGCAGGCGGGGCCCAAATGGAAGTTCCCAAGGCCCCTTCAAGCGGCAAAGCCGGCGCAAGACCGAAAGAACGGAGATCTGCGCATAGGACACAAAGCTTGCTGGTGCCATAGGTAGGAAATGAGGGTATGAACCCAGGGGTCCCCTTGAAGGAAACCACAGGGGCTGGTTCATAGGGGTCCATTCTCTGCTGAGCACCAGCAAGGAAGGTACACACGGAAGAACCTGCCCTGTGCCCCAGGCGTACGAAGAGATGGTCCTGCTCCCACGCAGCTGAATCCTGAGCATTTGCTGCACGTGACAGCGCGCTTCTCGCTAAGTTGGGCGAGTCTCTATGTGGCAGTTGTTGCTTCTATGAAATTCTGGGAGACAAAAAGGATCCACCTCGTCAGTGTGCTCACATGGCGTATTCCCTTCTGATGGTAGACATGCATCATGTGCCCTAACGTGCTTGGCTCCGTAGCTTTTTAGTCCTGCTAGCAGCTACCATTCAAGCTATCTGGCTAATCGAGCTTCACCGTACAACCCTCTTATCCAATGGCTTGCAAGCAAGCACGTCGGTTGCCTGCTGCTGTCACACGTAGCAACCGCAACAACAGCAAGTGCGGTTGCTGCCCGAAGCTGGAACCCGACTCATAAGACAGCCCTACTCAAATCCCAAATTATGTCATGCCTGCACGGTAGTTTCGGAACCTCTTACGAAGACTAGGTAGGGCCGGAAGGACCAGGGCCCGAGAGCACGCAGCCCAAATGGCAGTTTCGGAACCCCTTACAAAGAGTAGCTCCCGAGAGCCAAAGCACCAGAACCCCTGACGAAGAGTAGCTAGGGCCCGAGAGCCAAAGCGCCAGACCAGCCCACGCACGGCCGGGCGGCAGTGTCTGAAGACTAGCGAGGGCCCGGCAGTTACCCCACTCACGAGCATGGAAGTGCACTGGCTGTGGCATTGAGATAACCTATCAAGCTTTGTCTGCAAGTCTGGCCACAAAGCTAGGGCAACCGCATGATCACTGCTGCTGCATCACAGGCTTCTACAAGGCTTTGTGCTTGTTCAAATGACCCGCTGCATACCACCACTCCGAACATCTCTACTCTTGGCATGGTAGCAAAACACTTTGTTTTTTGCAGACCCCAGTAAAAATGAACAGAACCAGAAAACTAAAAAACCAAAAAACATGCCAAGAACAGTGAAGCGAAGCTATGATTGAGCATCCCGCATCGTCTACGCCATCCTCCCCGAGGTCGATCCACACGTCGCCGAGGAAACGCTTCGAGGCCTCGGGAGCTAACACTGCCAGGCAGGGGTCCACTTTATGACTACCCCAAGACAAAGGAAATCCCATATTTTTTTCTCTTTGGTGGGAAGGAGCCGGGTTGAAGTCCCTGAGATAGTCACAAAGTAAAAAAAATATATGCCAGAACCCAGGCGCAAAGCCCATAGAAAGGCGCTAAGCTTCGAATTCTGTGGAGCCGCACGCGGTGAGAGCCGTACGGCGGTTGGGGGCACAACACCCGGACGCAACGGATGTCCCCCACATCTCCGCACGTATCCATTTCGGTGGATCTTTCACAACATGGGACTCCCAGTTTCGCTTGGAACGGAAACCAGGCCGGCTGCAACTACCACAAGAAGGTCTGCCTACTGGACAAACCCCTGCCTGCCCTGCACCAATTGGTACGCAGTTTATCCCAGTACTCGAGCTTCATCCATCCAAACTGGCGCAGGATTTCCAAAGTAAGGGCGTGGGATTGTACCCGGCACAATAACCCATAATTGTCCAACACAACACTTCTCGTGATATGGTTGCTTTGAACATCACCCCAACTGAGGGAAACTTATGTCAAAACGGATCAACAGGAAGCAAATCCACTGCAATTCGGTCGGAGGCGCCTCGCCCTCCGCTTGCTCCTTGCTCTCCTCCTCCTGCGCTAGGCCAAAATTTTCCGGTCTGGCCATGGGGGGTTGACGAGATGGTGGTCCTTTTTACCCCCCCTTTTGGCACGACATGAGGGTCCCAAAAGGGTGCCCCCCTGCCTTATGGCAACTTCTGGTGGATTTGGAGTAGCTCCCAAGAATAAACACCCTCCTTGACCAACAAAACGGCAAGTATGGGTTCCCCTCAAAATTAGGGGCCAGCACTTGAAACCAACCAAAAGGGAGTTCGCACCCCCCCCCAAAAAAAAAAAGAGAGACAAAAAGAAACTTGCAACACCCGCAACCCGTATTCTATTGACCGCGTTCGACAAGATAGCAACTCCAACAAATCACCTGTGGCATTTGCCCGGCCAGCACCCACAGCAACTGGCACGTCTAAAACCTCGCGCCTCGAAGGGCACTTTCGGGAGCCCGACGGAGCCTCGCCGTTTGCAGTGGCCAGCGTCGCTTTCCATGTGACAGCGCGTTGGTTGCGGCTGAATTCATTGATGGTGGGAACTGGAGAAAGCCGATCCCGCAAGAGTGAGGGGCTCTTTCATGGTGGAACTGGTGAGAAGGAGACGTGGGGCCACTGAATGACTGGGCTTTCTTGCCTGAGAGCAAAAAAAAGCCGTGAGCTATGGGTGAAGTTGGGTTTCACGTTTCAAGAGAGCGAACAGCTTCGAACTCTGGGCACTAGCCTCTGCTGGTAAAAACCGGCCAAGCGTCGAGTGCGAAACAAGCTTCGAGCCTACCGAACGCAACTGGGCAGAATGACAAAGTCTTTCTAGCAGCACGTGTTCTTCGATTGCTTGCTAAGGGCATCAAACTGCATTTCTCAACTTGTCCGGAACGACTCTGCCACCCTCTCATCTCTCTGCGTTGACTAGCCTGGCTGAATATATATATATATATATATATATTTATGTGTATATCGATCTGCTATTATTTATATGGGTGTGGCATGGCCACACAATAACACAAACACAAACACACACTCGCAAACACACTCACAAACAAACAAAACAACCAAACAAACAAACACACATTGCAAACAAACAAACAAACAAACAAACAAACAAACAAACACGCACGCATGAACCCATGCACGCACGCCCCGTTTCCGGCTGCAAAAGTCACATGACTTCCAAACGCTTGATTTTAGACTAAAGTAACTATGGGCGCTGATCAAATGGCAGCCCTGCCGTCCAAAGCCGCATGTCTTGAGCGCCCCTGCCAAGCAGCAGGCCTCAACATGCGCGCCGACGAGTGCACGCGCATGGACATGTATGTCATGCAAAGAACTTTGCTGGGGCCTTAAAGTGATGGCCATGAATCCAATTGTAAACGCTGTCTACCAAAGACCGCCCTGAAGATCCATGCCCCCAAAGAAATGGGGTGCATATCCTGTATATAGTGGCTATATACATACATATAAATATATAAGTACATAGTGGCTGTAAGCTCCAGGAAAGTCCTGGGGTAGTTGGGTAGTGGAAACTATCTTAGTCTTAGAATGTATTCACGCATATGTAAAACCTCGCTACGCTTGTCATGGTCATGACCTCCTTACGAGGAACTCTGTTGATGATTGTCTGTCTTCAATGCCTCTTCAAGGTTTCATGACCACCCTTGCAAGCCAAAGAAGGGGGGGTGTTTTGATCATGGCAAATTTCAGGTCTTGTGCCGCGCGATTCCTGAGGGCTCGTCCCAAGGCCCTGGTCGTCTCGGTGTTCTCCTTGATCACGACCCGGCCTAGGGCAAGGTCACCCTATAGCCTTGAGAAGGAAGGAGCACCTATCCTTGGACCCTGCCCACACCCCAGAGTGGATAATGGGATAATTAGGCCAAAGGAACCAAAATGCTCAACCGCAAAGGCGAGTGGAGGGAGGGCAGGGGTCAGCCTGGTCGGCTGCTCACGTTTGGGGAACCCACCGGTGACTGATGCTTGATGATTTTGCTGAGGCCGTCTTTGCTTGCCGGGACTGATCACTGCGGGCTGCAGTCAGCGGGCTGCAGTCAGAAAGAGTCACTACCAGAGCCGCTGAGTTGACCGGCTTTGGCTCTTCCCAGCAATGTTCACCAAGGGATGGCAGCGCATGAGTTCGTAGCAAAACTTAGCTCCCTTTTTCAAGACGCTCGACAGGACATCGCCTCCCGTTCCGTAGCACGTGTTGGACCTTCAGCTTCCCGTCAGGGCCAAAAACCCGCACGTCTCTGGGCCCGCAGCTTCGGCTGGGCCTATGGCAAGGAGGGCAACCGGCTGGAATAGGAATCCGCCACCGTTTTGGTACCAGAAATCCTCAGAAAGGGATCAGGAGGGTGGTTCCTCCCAAAAGGAACGAGGCCAATGGGGATTTGGCGGTAAAAAGGGAGGCCAAAGAAAAGGCACTCGCCACAGTCCACAACCAACAACATGTGGGTAGGTACCCCTGGCATCCGCCTGGTGAACAAGATTGTGCACCTGGGGGCATGCGGCTGGGCACCGGGGGGATCCACGCGGGGATGCAACCCACCACAGGCTCTTGCGAATACGTCTGGTGCGATCATTCAAGCCCGACATGCCAGCCGATGCAATGGGACAATTGACACATCGGTGTACATGTGTCGTCAAATGTCCCAGCCTGTACCCGTCTAGCGCTTCCTAGCCCTTCAAAAGCTAATGAAGCCGAAGCCGTACGAAGCCCTTACATTGGCTTGCCAGTGTTCATTCCCCCGACCTGCCGCTGTGGGCAGCTACTGCAAATGGAACCGCATCAAAAGATGCCTGGTTGCAAAGCAACTGCCGGCATCTCACTTGCTGGGTGGATTGGCCAAGAAAATGCGAAACTTTTTACTTACGACTAAACTGGTCTTCCCAAAAAGTTCAGGAAGCAAGCATACCATGCAAAGAGGTCCCCAATGAGTGTTTACTAAAAGTAAGGTTCCCCATCAAAGTCGGGGGATTTGGGGCTCTCTTTCAAAGCTTCCGAGGCGGCTCCCTGACCGCAGAAAAATTGCAACTATGGGCCGGCCAATAAAGGACATTAAGTAAAGCTTCGATTGGAGGACTTGGTTTCAAGTAGGCGTCTTTTTCCGCATGTCCAAAGGTTCTCTTAAAACACACACGCCCGCGCAGGCACTGGAGATTCATGGCCAACAATGCCAACACGTCTTGAGGCACTCCCAGCTGTCTTGACAGCTGCATCCGCAGCCCCGTCTTCGCTGTCCAAGGGCCAGCGCAACTGGAGCATCCCTGCATCAGGATTCACAACAAATACCCCCATGTTTACTAATGATGTTCCTGAGAAGTTGCATGCGGCTGATGTGCACGACGTGAGAACAAGTGTAGTACTTGCCCATGGACCCCCGACAACACCCTCTTCTAGACTCTCTCCCCTGCAAATTTACGAGGAACCGAACAAGGGTTCCCCCAAACAACACATGCCTCCTTTTAAGTGACGGCTTTTTTAGTGCCATGTGAATCTTATGGTGCAAGATGTCCTAAGCAAAGAGGACCATTGATAATTCCAGAAGAACAAGCAGGTTTTGGGGTTGGAATGGGAACCGTCCTTGTAGTACTTGCCCATGGACCCCCGACAAGCGTCAAGTCCTGGCCCCCCACAAGCATCTCACGCAGCGGTCCCTGCACCAAGAGGAAAGTCACTTAGAACCAGCTCGAAATCTGTTAAAACCACCAAAACGGGAAAACATAGAATGCCCTGTAACAAACCAAATACGCCAGCTGCTTCCCTTTGGCTGGGTCCGCCGCTTGCTCCTCTCCTTCGTGTCCTTGGCTTCCTCGCCTCATCAGTAGCTTTGTGACCCGAATAAACCCGAGCCATCCACGAATCCCTTTTTAGCCCTAGCGCAGGGTGACACGTGTGATTTGCTCTTCCACCTAGAAAACACACTGAAGGCAAACAATGTGACACGAAGCAGGACTCGTGTGTGTGTGTGTGTGTGTGCGTGTGTTCCGTTCCTCTCCCAAAGCTGAAGCGAAGGTATTCACAAGAAAAGGTACCAAAAAGCAGAGGCAGGCAGGCATTGTGTATTCCTTTGTTGGCCAAGCTGCTTGAAGTGACATCCGGTCAGTGCTTTTCCCCATCAGGCTACAGCTGTTTTTGAGAAACTCTGGGCCGCTCTGGGATGGGCTTGGCATCACGGCAAGTAAGCCCAAGCCACAAGGGCGCATGCTGCAGCCAAGCTCAGTAAACCCAAGCCACAAGGGCGCATGCCAGAAAATTCCTGATGCTGCAGCCAAGCTCAGTCGACGCAAATTGGTGGTATTCGTTAGTCTGAGAAAGGGATCGTCCTGATGATGGTCCATGGGCAATCACTGACACTCACTTGCTGAGTGGATGGCCAAAAAAAATCAAACTCTAAATTTAGCACTAAAATGGTCTTCCCAAAAAGTCTAAAGTTCATGAACTCAGGAAGTGAGGACATAGGGGACATGGATGGCCTCCGCTGTGATTCTCAAGCTCAACCAGGCCAACCTGAACAAAAAACACTGCCTGAGCTTTCGAGCTCTCAGTGACTCCGCAAGCAAAGCTACTTAATTGGTGCACGCCCAACACCGGGACACCGCGCCATCGTCAACCTCGAAAGCAGCAGACCTGCAGCCCGGCCATACTGTGGATGGACGAAATCCTGCACCACTTTGAAGCCATAAAAACCATTGATTGTGGGTATTTCCAGGGGAATGATCATTCCAGGGTTTCTGGGGTGGTGCAGGATTTCGTCCATCCACAGTATGTGTCGAGGATTAGTGATATCTACACTTGCCAGCCCCTCGAACTCCAAAGCACAGTGCAAAAACGTCCTTTGTGATAAAGCGCATTTATGGGGTCCAGAGCACATTTTTGGGTTTACAAAGCACATTTTTTGGAGGATCCATTTCACCCCTTTTGGAGCCCGTTTCGGCTGCGCGTGCGTACTGAGCACTGCTTTTCACACACTTCCTTTCCTGACTGACTCAAATGAATGAGTAAGATATGAGATCCCAAGCAAATGATATTCGTTGCCACTTAGTGTCCCAAAGCACCTTTGAACAAACGTCCGAGGAAGCCTAGGGCAGCTGTTGTTTGAAGTGAGACAAACGAAATGTTCAACATGCCACCATTGCTGAGCGTGACCGCATGGCCGGCAGCGCCGCAGACATGGACCAAATTGACTTAGGTCCGGTTGGTTCTTCAAGTGCGAACAGAAAACTACTGCCGAGTTCCTACAACGACGCTCCTCTGGCGTGAGCTCTGTGGCCCCCCGGCACGGCTTGTCGCAACTCGTTGACCTCGGTTCGCGCCCCTTTGCTTCCCCTCTTGCACATCTGCACTTGGAGACCCCATCCACGCAGGGAATTTGCTGCCTCTTCACACCCTCAACACTTAGGAGCATATTTGTATATATATATATATGAGCAACGGCTTTTATTTGTTACATGGCATAATGGACGGGTGTTCCTGACTCGTTTTCCAACCCCGCGCTCGGTCGCACCCCCCTATCTCCTTTTGCAGCACCGCGCTCGTATTATCTGGCTCAGCTTTCTGTAGAGCTTCAAGAAGAGGAGCTTAAAGAAGTAAACGAGCTTTGGTTAGCTTGCCGCCTCCTTTGTCTCCTTCGTTCTTGCCGCACAACCTTTCGCTAAGCAAACTGCTGCTACACAATTTGTTGAAAAGTAATACTTGAGAGGAGGAACTGGGCCAATACTCACTTGGACGCTGTAGGGGACTCGTTCTGAACTCGTTTAGGAACTCGTTTTAACATGGCCCGCTTTCATCGCAGGGTTGGCCAGCACTTGCCCCGGAAAGTCTGTGGTAAGTTGCCACGGACCATGCCACGTAGGTCGTCTACTCTACACTACATCTAACAACCTTGAACCCAAGACGCTCTGCCAGGCCGCACTTGCCAAAATGTCATCCTAATCCATGCTATCATGCTTGTTTGCCCTATGTCGTTTTCGGGGTGTTCCCAACTCGTTCTGCTGCTAAATATGCACATTTCCCAAAAAATAGTTCCAGCCCCTTGCATGTGTCCATTAACGTAAACAAAGTTAGTCGCCCATATGTAATGTATATAGTTATATAGTGTGGATATGATGTTTAGGAGGCCGAGACGAGGATGTTTAGGAGGCCGAGAGGGAGTGACTCCCGGCAAGCCCCAAACAGCGCCACAAAGAGCCCGCACCTCTGACGAACCTGGACTGAAAAAGCCCAACTCCCCGAAGTAAGCCTGAAGGCCTTTGGGTCATAGGCCCTGGCATGCTTCAGGTCTTCGAGGTTCAGCTTCCGCTTGCCCGTGATGGGCAACACCCAGCGCGACTCCTGGGCGAGTACGCCTAGGAGTCCTCATGGCAAAGCTTCGAAACGGCTCGGAAGGGGGGGTAAAAGCGAGTCTCTGGCGGCCTGAGAGCAGCCTGGGAAGAAAGCGCATCACAGCAACCTGTTGTCTTTCCCTTTGTGTTTCCTTCCAAAACCAACAGGGGAAACCAAAAAAAAACATATTCTTAAACAACTGGAAGTGGGTGGAAGAGTAACACAAGTCAACAGTCAAAGGTGCTCGCCGTCCAGCTGATCCACGGAGCGTATTACTCTAGGAGGCAACCAGGATCTTTACCTCTAGATTCTGCATGACAGACTCACCCTCATCCTTCCTTGGGCTGGATAGAGAGCGGCATCGGGGCTTTCACAAGGATTCTGAGACCCCTTCCGAGAACCAGTTCCAAGAGGCAAGAGGGATCTAAGAGCCTTTCCTGCAGAATGTTTGGTCCAAAGGGCTCCTCCCTATGTTCAACTTGATTGTTCCAGCCCACGGCATTTACGAAGCTTTCGAAAGACCAAAGCAAGGAGAGCTTGCAGTGTGGTTCAGGCTCTGAGACGCCCGAATAGCCTTGGGCCTGGTTGGGCCTCCGCCCCGCGCTTGAGATATGACACTCCTCTGCGTGGCCGAACATTGACACTGCTCGCACCTGGCCGGACATCGGATCACCAGCGCGGGGCTCGGATCTGTTCAATCTCGACTCGAGCGGAGCACTATGATTCAATGATCTATAGAGCCACCCAAAAGAGCGTTGCGAAAACACATGCCCGAGCAAACCACCGACAATTGGCAACCCAGTCAGTGCAAGAAGCAAGACGTGACTAGCAGAACAGCAAACTCAAAACTAAGAACCAGCATGGCGAGGTACAAACATATATATTATTTGTACCTCGCCATGCTGGTTCTTAGTTTTGAGTTTGCTGTTCTGCTGGTCACGTCTTGCTTGTTGCACTGACTGGGTTGCTAACGATGGTGCCGGCTATCAATACATCTTCTAGCAGACCTCAACTGACCAAAGGCGGGCCCAAAACTGGCGCCTCCTGGCTATCCAGGTCGCACAATGCTGCGCAACCTCCCTGAGTCGAGGCCCCACCTGAGGTCGGGCGTCCCATTTGCCCGAAGGAGATCTGGGGTTACCCTCCCTTAAGGGTAACCGCAAACAAAAATAATCTAGGGGGTGATTCCCCAATCTTTTCAACCATCGTTCCTTTCAAAAAACATATGTTTTCCCTGTTTCAGGAGGTTTTCTAGAATCCTAGAAAGAAGGATCCCTGGAAAGAATGGGGAAGGTCCCTGGAATAATGGGGAGATTCAAATCTCCCGTAATATGGCTAAGTCTAGGTCAAGGAGAAACTGTCGGGTGGGCTACAAAGAGAGTCAAGGCTTCAGCGCATGTGGTGTAAAGGGAAACCATAGCACAATCACAATCATGTGGTCCAAATCCCTATTTTGACACACACACGCACAACCACAACTTTTCTTCTAGCAAAGCGCTTTGTTGCAAAACCGGAGTTATGCTTGCCCCGAGGCACATTCTTCCTTCGGGGAACGCCAAGAAACGGGGTGCAACGAATTTGATTTGCAGGGCAAAACTCGAACTGATCTCAATGGCCTAATGGTCTAGCTCCGAGGGCGGGGGAGGCCCACTTTTGGGGAACCCTTGCTGGGGAATGTTCTCCTTTAGCGTTGATGTTTAGCCATGAGACACAAAGCGGAAATACACACGACCTCCACTAGGTCCTCCAGTAGAGAGGTTAGAAGAACGGTACCCTTTTTCTGTAGTCTATTTTAGTAGGGGAACCCTCCCAACCAAAAAAGCGGAGAGAAAGGGCACCCAGCTGGGAGACCTAGTCGTTGCACCCCCATTGGGCTCAAGGGGTGATTTGCCCAGAGAATTCAGCTGGAACTGGTACCCTCACCGAGCGAGCCACAGCTGCGAGGGCGGAAGAAGGCGAGGAGTAGCAGCACCTCGGCGATTCCCAAGGCCGGGCCTTGCAACCAGCCCTGGCAAAGAAAGGCCTGGAGTCTCCGTGACCCTTTAAAAATGGGGTCATGACCCCTTAGGGGTCATGGAGACTCCAGGGGGACCCAGTTTTTTAGGATTCCTCTGAGGTTGACCATGACAATTGTGGGGAAGCTGCCAGGCAAGTCAAGCAAGAAGGGGATTTGAATACCACTGAACTGCTCCAAATCCACCCAAAGCGTGCCCTCAGGGTTCAAAATCATGGCATGGGTATCGTATCAAGTTTAATTTGAACAATATTGGCAAGGGGGATGTATTTGCAGCTGTGACCAGCGAAACCTGGGCTGCCCCCTTGTCATTGGCTCCGTGCACAGGTTCCACTCGCCAAACAAACTAGCCCAAATGAGTATATCGCTTCCATGCAGCAAGCCCCGGAAGAGCAGGGTGCATGGAAGCCGCAACCCAGGTTGATTCATAGCGCCAATTGAAGAGATGCTTGGCATCACTTTTGGGGCAGTGGCACGCCCTCCTTTTCTGCCATGTTCTCCTAATTTCCGCAGTCAGCAGTATTTCATCCAACTGGCGATTGTGGCAGCCAACCAGAAACTGCGCAAGCGCGCGCTCGACCTCAAAAGCCCGAGCTGGCTGGGGAGAGTGGCTGGTCGTTTCCCACGAGCCCGTCTCAAACCTAGTTGTCCTTTTTGGAAAATAGGCGGCGCTGGTAACTGGGCAAAGCTAAACTTCAACCAATGAAGCCATCTTTGTCCAACCATCACCTATTCGGAAACCTGCACACCTGTCTCAAACGCTGCATGCTTTTTGCTCGGAAGCGTCTCCCCTGTGCCTTTTCTCGAGCAGAACACTTCCGTTGCCCCAGGATGGCAGCAGCCAGCTGCTGATTCTCAGCGCGGCGCTTGGGGGGGGGCGTTGGGCACAAACAAGCCCAGAACCGTGCCTTCCTCTTCATCCCTCTGGAGGAAATTGGTTTTGATCTTGGGTCCCCAGATTTATGTTGCCGTGGGGGAGCAACAACTGTTTGTCTTACAAAGGTGTACCATGAAGGAGAACAGGGGCAAGAACGGCAACTTGCGATCCCTGCCGCATGATACCCATGCGCCCCTCGGCTGCCTTTTCGGGCCGACTTTGACAGCCCAGCTCCAGCGTTGGATCCCGCCGAGGCCGCAAAGTGGTATGATACAGCGTTACAGGGATCAACCTGCAGAGTACCCTACTTCTTCCATTTCAACATCATGTTTGAACCATCCTAAAGGGGAAGTATGGTGAGCTCTGACCTATCTCAGCCCACCTGCACCCTTCGGCCGAAAGTTGCTGGGCTTGACACAGAAGCGGGCTCGGGGTTCAGCGCTCGAAAATCGGGGTTCTTAGTTTGGCCCAAGTGGGGGCATGGGAAAGGCCTGATCCTAGCAAACTTGGGTGGATCGAATGAGTTCTTGACGTTGCACTTCATGAAGAGGGTTCGCCCTTTGGCTGCTCAGGGGGGAATAGCTGATGGACTGGCTTTCTGAGCATCAAAGGTTGGATTCAAAGGTTTAGTGGTCCAAAAAGCCAAAAAGCTGTCGCAAGGGCTCTTGCGGGTGCCAGTTGTTGCCGACGCAATTGACTGGGTGAAAAGGTCACCCTTGCAGAACCCTAACGCAAGACTGAAAAGGTCACGGTGGAAGTTGGTGGCCTGTGCCTGAATCCACTGCACGGGAGCATTAGCCAAGAAATGACCTGACAGGATGCATCTGTCACCCCAGGTGACGATGACTCACGGCACCGGGGTGACGTCAGGCTAGGAGCGTCCTGCCTCTGCCCAATAGCACCTCCGGAGACTCCACGACTTGGCCCAGGAAGGCGGAGTGGCCCACCGCATTGTCCCCAGGACCGGGATGCAGAGGCAACCCACCAAGAGAAGCATGCTGAACAAAGCGATCTCAAACAAATTGTCAAGGCCCCGGATCTCAAACACATTGTCCGGGCACCCTGCAGATGGTATCCAACCAAAAGCTTTTGCACCGGTAGCTTCCATACCCCCCTTACATGACATGAGAGGGGTACGTGCAACGTGCTAAGAGGTTGATTTGCGCCAAGAGCCAGGGATAGCCACTTCAAGGGGTGCTTCACTTCCCCTAAGTTAAGTGGGATACCAAATTACCGAATCATGGGCGAGCTTGCTTTACCCCCGCGTGAGCTTGAGAACATTTGCCCAAGTCTTGCCTAAATACAGCGAGTATGTGCTTCTCTTCGGGCGACTTTGCCAGAGATGGCACTGCCAGCTCGTTCGCGGAAAAGCGAGGCGATCCCCGCGGTCGGCTGCGGCGACCCTTCCGCTGACCCTTTGGGTCAGCGAAGGATACAACCAATCCGACGGTTCGCGCAAGCACCATCTTCGCAATAAAATCAAGCATAGACCGGAATGGGGTATAGAGAGGGGACAAACCGCAGCATGTTCTCCCTGCTAAAGCCTTTGTCGGCGGGGAATGATGTCTGGGAGCAACCGTGTCCTGCGGTGCTAATGTGAAGCGCGGTGTCTCAGAAACCATTCGATCACTGATGAATGTACACACCAGAAACAGTGTCAAAGGTGCCGTCCCACCAGCCAACAGGATTCATATTCAGCCCCACTGATTCATGCCATCCGCAACTCCGCATATTTGCCCTGTGATGTGCTTGCGATTGCAGGCTCACTAAGGGTGGGAATTCCCACCGCTGTGATTCCAGTGGTAGTTATTCGGTCCTCCAGTAGAGAGGTTAGAATAAGGGTGCCCTTTTTTCTGTAGTATATTTTAGTAGCGGAACCCTCCCCCAAAAAAGGGTAAGAGGGCACTGGGGGACCTAGTTACAGTAGACCTTCCTACTGACTTTTGCCCTTCCCGCAGCCCGGTCACTGGGTGTAGAGAAAATCCGTGACCCGGGGCTTGTACAATACTCGGCCTGAGACGCTGGACTCTGTGGAGGCAAAAAGCTAGGCCTGGAAAAAGGCAACGCTGAGCAGAACTCAGCGAGCTGAGCAGAACCCAACAAAGACAAACAATGCAAATTCCAACGGACATTGTCCCAATTCCCAATCCTCTATGGTTTGGCCATGTCCGCTACTGGTTGCAAGGATCTCATGGAAAGAATGGAATGCTTCTTGCTGAATCCCGGGAATTCTTCCAAGAAGTTAGCCCTTGTAGATGGGCCGAAAAAGGCCCAACATGTTTGTTTGCCACCACAACGGTCTTCCCACAAACATGAAGTCCAGGAACTGAGGGAGGAACAGCACCCTTGCCAAGTGGCAGAAGGACTGAGTGGGTTGGGCCTCCTGGCCCGTAAGGAGCGTGTAAAAGTCTGAGGCGAAGGTCTGGCAGTTGCCTCGGCTGTTGGGGGCCAAGCGAGTGGATCCCCTCAGCTTACCCTCCCTCGCACGTTGCCATGGCAACTGGGAGGGGGTCCCTGCAAAAGGAAATTGATCTTCCAGGTACCTCCCCGCAAGTGCCATGTTAGTTGGAGGAAGGGTATCCTTTTTGATGGTCAAAGAAAAATTGAAGGAAAATCAAAAGGGCTAAAAGGGCAAATAGGCAGGTAGACAAGTCTGGATGGGCGAAGGATAGCGCTCCCTACGTCTCTCTCTCTCTCTCTCTCTCTCAGCAATGTCGGTCCATCCCGTCCGCTCTCTGGCGTGCCAGGGTTGCGCGGCAACACTGGAGTCACCTTCGGGGAAACCAGTCACAAGTGATCCATGATGGGCAACGCCCGCCCGGCATTCCTTAAACACAACGAACCTACCTCCCATTGATCCAACAAGTGTTTTTCAAAGTGGCTTGTAAGACCAAATGTAACTCAAAGAAGAAACGCACAGGCCTCTCCCGAGCATACCCCATACATCCCCATACAGAAGCAGCTGCTGGCTCCAAAAGCCTGTGCAGTTGAGCAGCGCCACAACCTATGGACCTTTGGCCTACCACCCTTTGGCAAACAAACATGGAAGTGCACAAGGAGCCTTTTGTGAGGATGCTGGTCTTCCAAAGCCTTCCTGTCCACTTCATGATGTTGGAACCAGTGAAGGATTGTCATGCTCAGTTTAGAGGCCCTCGCTATCATCTCTATAACCAGAGGGTGCCCATCAGGACCCCGACAAAGATGTACACAAGGGTGTGCAGCTGGGGCGCGGCGAGCTTCCTCATAGATGGGATTCTTGTTGATGTAGTTCAGGAGGTAGTTGAGGATGTCCTGAGCCGGCAGTCTAGGTGTTGCAGTAGAGAGGTTAGAATAAGGGTACCAACTTTTCTCAGTAGGGGAACCCTCCCCCAAAAAGAAGGGCACTACTGGGGGGCCTAGTAGTGAAGGCCCTAGTAAAGGACCAAAATAAGACTTGGGCCCCATAGTTGAGGACCTACACTTGCACCATGAGCTCGGTCTACCCCCCAATCGGTGAGCTCGCCATAGACTAATGGTGGAGCAGTGCCCAAGCTCAGCTTGGAGCCTTCCGACCAAACGACAAGGGCAAACTAAGTCCTTCAGGTTCAGATGATTCCCAAGAAGCCCTCAATTGGAGAGGAAGCGCCGTTTAGGGGACCCCATTCGGAGGGCCATGTTTATGGGTAATTTGTCTGATCACTGCTGTACCCCGAGGGAAGGGTGTGCAAGATTGACTCAGTCAACAAAACCACATGGACTAAGCCCCACTACAAGTACTGGACTGGCAATTCGTCAACAGTTCCGCTCCGGCCCCCACCCCAAGATACCAGCCCCACCCACCCAACAACAATCTCCAAGCACTCCAACTCCCAGCCAGACAGGCCTTCCTCTGGTTGGCTCAACGTACTCTGCGGGTGGACTCGGCCCTATGCCAAGTTACCACGTGGGAACGATGCTGCAGGTGGACCTGCGCAGGGCGTGCTTTTCGCCGAAAGGCTCGGGGACCACACAAAAAATCACTTGACTCCCAATTGCACCTCTTCCTCTCAGTTTGGTGGGGCTGGTATCTTGGGGTGGGGGTTGGGTGGAATTGTTGACAAGT